AAATGTCTGAAAATATGCGACCTGTTTTTAGAAAACGTGTATTGCGTATCCGAAATAAATTCGATATGAAGATAATAAATGTTCTACGCCATTGCCTTCATTATTTTATGTCACCGGAAATATTGCAGAAAAAAGAACAAATATATTTTTTGGGCTTTTATTAATTGGGGAAATTCAAATTCTCCTGGGTTGCAGCACGTTCTTTGCTTTCTTTTTATTTATTTTTTGCTTTCCTCTTATCAAGTATCAAGTCAAGTCGGTTTTGTGATAAGAAACAACCCATCGATTATGCTTGTCTTACGTGAATACCCACCAGTCATATGGACATATGGACACATATACCCAACTAAGTAGTTAGGGGCTTTAAACAAAATGCAATACACGAACAAAATAGTAAAAAAAAATCGAAAATAATAGATTTTGTCGGTTGGCGCCAAGGCGCTTAAGCAAATTGTCATGAGTATGTATAAAGTATAGGTATACGGTATACGTGTTATCGAAAGGGGCGTGTGAGGGGTTATTCCAATTCGCCAATTCTCTTTTGGTTTGAGGAAATGTTCAGTCTTTCCTTTTTTATACCCTGGCAGAGGGTATTAAATAATTTATCATACGTGGGTCTAGCATAAGAAAAATATATGGCAATTTAATTTTTAATGCATCGGAAGGTTGAACGTCACCATTATTTTACAGCTTTATCTTTCTGTCTATATTAACTTAACAACAATTTTGATATTTTTTTTATAATTTTTTAGTTAAGTCTTTTTAGTTTAGTCGTAAAGGGTATAAAACCATTGCATCTAGTTCATTTCTCGATTTTCTTGTGGTGATTGACAGCAACAACAAACTGAATCTGACAAATAACAAAACGTGGAAAACAGAGAGAACAAAAAATAAATACAATAAACAATTTCTCAAAACATAAAAATAGTGCGCAAATTGCTATTTTTACTATAGACGGAAAAAAGAGAATTCAGAACAAAAACAAAACATGCGACAACGATTTGAAGTCAATCAATTCTCTGAGAAAAATCTTATCACTAGTATTCTTCTCTCTTGCCCTCTCTATCTTTGTTACTCTCTTACATCGTTTGGCTTTTACACACGTGAGGTTTTTTGTTTTGTCTCTCCCTCTCTCTCTATCACCTTATCTCTTTGTATCTCCGTCTTCTTATTGCATTCTATTTGTAGTCTGTTTTGTTTTGTTATTGGTTTTTGGTTTCTTTAACGACTTCTCTCTTTCTTTCTCTCTGCTGCTCTCTTTTTTATTTTGTTATTGATCACTTTTGTGCATTGCAAATTATCGCCTCTTTTGTATTTGTTGCCATTTTTCTTGCAAAATAAAAAAAAATGAAAACACACTTTTTATTGCGTTTCAAAACTCTGCTTCATAATAGCAAAAAAAAAATAGTAAACTAAAAATTAATTACATTTGATGGGGTCTTTAAAATTTGATTGGTACTTAATTGTGTTGAATTAAAGTTTTTCATTTTGTTAAAAATTTAATCCGAATCCGCTCCAATGTTTTATGTCTGTTATACTCTTATTTTAATATGTATGATTTGTTAATATTATTTATTATATTTTTTATTTAAAATTTAATCGGTCAACATTTTTTTACTTGGTAGAAGTATATTTTTACATTTTACACTAATTTTTTCGCCACTTTACTTGACTATTTAAATTTTATACATTTTAATACTGAACTGCTTTTCTTACAGTTTGAGTGATACTATGCATTGCCTAATATTGCTGTGTAAGTTGTACGTACGTAAGCGTAGAGAAAGCCAAAAGCAGTGCAGTTTTATAAGCTGTTCAAGACGCCCTCTAACGGAGAAAAGCTCCATTTCCGTGCAGTTAAACTGCTTTATTTACAGTTTGCGCGCTATTGTGCTTTGCTAAATGTCCATGTGAATTTGATAAGTAGAACAAAACTGTAATAAGCGGTAAAATTTAAAATAATGCACTTCAGGGTACACAAGCAGTTTAGCTACGCCCTCTAGCGCGGAAAAAAACAAATGCCATTACGGGAGTATGCAGTGTTACTGCTTTAATTAAACTCTGAATTGAATTTGTTCAGGGTTAACAAGCAGTTACGCTGCGCCCTTTAGCGCACATAAAAACATTTGCCATGAGTAAATAAGCAGTGTTTACGGCTTAACAAATGGTGAATTGAATCTGTTTAGGGTCTACAAGCAGTATAACTGCGCCCTCTAGCGCTGAAAAAAAGAACATTTGCCATGAAGTGAATATGCTGTGTTTACTGCTTTAATAAACAGCGAAATGAAAAATTGTATTTCTATAAGACTTGAATTAAATCGTTTAATATTTCTATAAGGATTATGTTTATATTATAAGTATACTTTTCATATTTTTAAATAATCAAATGAAACAACTTGCTAAATAATTTTTTTCTTTTATTTTCAGGTAAGCAACTAAAATCAAAAATAAACTGAAATGTGCCTTAGTATCTTTTGTGTGTATGTAAGTACCATTTTAACCTAGTCCCTACCACCCATCAAAAAACATGCATACACTTTCTCTATCTATATCTTTTTGTATCGCTGTAATTGTCTGCCCATTAAAAGCATTCAAATAATTTAATCATGCATCCAAAGATTAATCTGTAAATAAACTTTTTTTAAAAGCACTTTGTAATATTCGCATGAACATTTTTTTGCAATTCTTTTATTTTTTTAATATATTTCTTAATAATAATAATAAAAGTTCATATGCAGTTTTTTATATTCAGGTGTATTTAAAAGAAAAACAATCGAAAAACTAAAAATTAAAATATATTTAACTTTTGATCCATAAACTAAAAAATACAAACAATAATTTTGTTGAGGGAAAGAAAACAATTCACTTAAAACGGAAATACAAATAATCTTTTCTTCCATTGTCCATTATATATTTTAAAGCAAAAATGATTCAGTATCACTCTGTTGAAAGAATTGCAAATAAACTGTCATGCGGATATTAGTTTCTATACCCTTGCAACTTTGTTTTTTGTGTATTGTCCTGTTTTTCTATCCTCACTTGCGCTTACGCAATCCTTTCTGCTGTCCTTTCACACTAATTGTGCTGTCAAATCAAACTGCCGAATTGCGAATAAAACCGCCAACATTGGAAATGAAATTACGTAAATAGAAACGAACTCAAGACAATTCGCAAATAAATTTTGGCTTGGCGGGTATAAAATTGGTCAAAAGCTGAAAACAGCAGCAACTGGCGATGAAAATTCGCAGATAAACTGCGAAAACAAAACGGCAAAGCGATTAATTTACCCCCCTTTTTTCCACCGAAAATTTCCTTTGAGCTGACTGCAAATTTCTTTTCAACGATTTTGTGTTGTCTTATCTCTGATCGCAGTTTTCGAGACTCCCGTTTTGGAATTTTCCATCTCGCTTTCTGCAGTTGTTGTTCGGCTTAGCTCCATTCACCTAATTTTCTTCAACAACAACAACAACAACCGTTTTTTTTTTCTCTATTTTTTCGAAAACTTTTATTTCCTTGTTGGCTTTGGGGCGACATACTAAGCAACAACAAAGCGGGGAAACACAATGGTAAATGAAAATGGGAATGTGAATGGAAATGGTGGGGGAAAAATGCTGCATGTAATGTGCATTTAATTTGTGGCAGCAACCACAGTGCAACCGCAATTTTCCATAGTTTTCAATAGGGACGTTTTCTTTTCTTTTCTTTTGTTTTGTGTGTGTTGTGCTGTTCATTTTATGCTAATTTTGCTACTTTGATATTATGTAAGCACACACATACTGGTGAAAGAAAGGATGACACTGGATTTTTTAAGAGAAGGGGAAAAATCATTTTGAGGAAGCCACAAAAAAAGTAGTCATTTCGACTCAGCGGAAAAAGATTGCCGAAATAAGTAATCAATTTATGTTGATTTGTTTAAAAATCTAAGTGGATAATTATAATTAAATAATAGTTATTCATATATGTATTCTATGAGTTTAATTCTCTTCATTCTCTTCCCTTTTGGCAACAATTAATAATTTCTGAATTTTAGTATATGCAAGACCTTGGCATATTTAACTTTCTTTTCGTCCTTTGTTGAACTTTTATAGATCATCCTAGCAGCCCCAGAACAAAGTTAATACTTGCCCTCAAACATTTTACATTTTTTGTAATGTGGGGCACATTAAAAAGTTTCTCGAAACTTAAAATTAACAATTAAAACCGTAGTAGGAAAAGCAAAGTTGTAAAAGCAAAACTGCTGCAGTCAAAAAAAAAAAAAACAAAGGGATAGCCACAAGCCCCAAAGCACAAGCAACCACATACATTTGAACCCGACTTTACTTCACTGTGAATAATATAAAAACCAAATAAAAATTGTTAAAAAAAAGGTAATTGCGGCTGGACTGCAGCTGAAAATAGTTGCTGTTGCATTTCCCAGACTTCTCTTGAGTGTGGATAATTTTGTTTTCCTTTTTTTGAGTGCTCGGAAAATGTAGAAACAACTTTGTGGGTTTGGTAGTCAAAAGTTGTATTCATTATACTTTTACATTTATAATTTTACTCAGAAACTTACAACGTAATGAAGAACACATTTCTTTAAAGTAATATACATTCTTAGTTTAAACAATAAATAGTCTTTCAGGTTTAAAGCTTTCTAGATTAAAGAAAATGTTTAAAAACAGTTTTTGAACGGCCAAGTATATAATATAGTTGTCTTACAGTATAATTTATATAATAATCTATTAATATGCGCTTATTTTTTAATAAATAAATATACTTTTATTAAAACGATTTCCAATTTAAGTTGATAGGTCATTTGACAAACCACTCTTTAGCTGTCTTTAGAACGATATTAGATACATCAACTAATTGCAAGGGTATAAGTCATCTTATTTTCTAGCTTATATTTAAGTATAAATCGATTCCGGGCCACATTTGCATTTGGTTATAAGTAGAAGACAAATTCTTTAAACTTTGCACAGCGGAAATACATTTTTCACCCTCAAAGAAATACAAAGTTTTCGACACACTGTCACAGATCAAACAAAATCAAAAGGAAATGTTCGTTTTTGGCCTATTTAAGGAGATTAATTTGCCCCAGCGTAATTGACAAATTTCTGCACTTCCTCCCCCCATTTCAGTTTTTGTACATTTCATTTTCAACGCAGCAATAGCATGTGGCATGCCACATCCATCATCTGCTGCTGCAGCAGAAATCCATGTTGCATCCTCGGCAGTTGGATGTTGTTTATGCTGCGAATTGGAGCGCATCGACACGATGCCGCAAATGTTGCATCATAATTTTCCCTGTTGCTTTTGTGCTGGCAAATGAAGTGAAAATTGACTCAGCTCCTCTTGCTGGTTGTTGTTCCATTTTCTTTTTTCTATTTGATGCATAGAGTTGGTTTTGTTTGTTCAATTCTGTAAATCGTAAGCTGAACGTGGAACAAGTTAGAGCAACACAGTTTTTAAAACAACATATTTATATGTGAGATCTGAGGAAACGTTTGAATTTTAAAAGGATAGTCTTCAGTATGTTTTAAAAAATAACAGTACCATTAATCATGCAACATATTTTGTAAAAATTTATTTTCTAACATGATTGAAAACATTCCAAACACCTTATTGGCAGTTAAAACCTTTGATTGCATTCAAAGCCAAAACTACGCCACAAATTCATTTCAACCTGTAAAATCGATTTATTGAATCTGGCCATATCAATCCACAAGATAAATTCACCTGATTGTTTGCCACCGATCGATCACAGTTCACTTTCCAATCGCAACTTGATCACTTCATTGCAGCAACACCAAATCGACTTTTGTTGCCCGGCACCAAATCCTTTCCTCTCCCAATCCAACAACAATAATGCAAAACAATCTATTATTATTTCGATTGGCTTCCTTGCATAAAATTCCAAATTATATGAGATCTATATATCTAAAGCTTCTTTCCAACTTTTCTCTTATACCTCTTAACTTTTTATTTTTATTTGAACTGCGTGCGACCTTTTGCTTTGCCAACCACCCAAAAATCCAACCGAAAATCCAACCCAGCTTTAGACACGTCGCCCCGATCCACGGCGGCAGTCGGAAACGGGCCTTTAGCAATCCCCACATCGGAGGAGGGCCCCATGATCCCACATTTGTGCACCGCCTGAACCCGCAGCTCTACTACTACAACAAATCGCAGTCGGGTCGCAGTTCCTTCTGCGTGGACGAATCGCTGTGGCCCACGGGCAATCCGAATGGAACGGCCAGCGATACGAATTTGTACATGGGTTCCAGTACGGAGGAGGATTACGAGGAGGCCATCGATCAGTTCTCGCCCACGATGTACACTCGGTCAGCGAGTCGGGCGATTCCCATACCGAGTAGTGCGGGCAGTAGTCCTCAGCACCAACCGCATTCGTATCCGCATGCGAATCCGCAACCAAATCCGCAACCAAATCCGCATCCGAATCGGAATACTCATATGCATTCGCAGTTCCATCACTCGCAGCCGAGAATTGCGGCTGGAATTGGTTTGCTGGGTGGTGGTGGTGTTGGTGGTGTTGGTGGTGGACATGCGACGACGGCTGCCTTTAGTGCCAGTCCCTCGATTTACGCCTATCCGCACTCGCCCTTTTACGCCAGTTCGCCGGACACGTCGCTTTCGTCACCGGTTCAAGTGTCCGGGCTGCCAGGACATCCAGGACATGGCAGCTCACGCATATCCATCAGCTACGATCCCGCCTTCCAGCGATTGCAAGTGCCCGTCATCTCCGGCGACCGAAGGCCGCGATCGCCGCTGGAATGCGCCACCGTGTTTGCCGCTGTGGCCGCAGCAGCCACTTGCGGTGGTGCAGCGGACACCATGCTCAACAACAGGTCGGTGTTGTGGGTCGATCACCACTCTTCCTTTTCGGTTATGGGCTCTAATTTCCATGTCTACTTCTTCGTGTCGCTTGATTTTCCCCGTTTTCGTGTCCTTCCCTTTGAATGTTTGGTGTTCCTAATCGCTTGGCCTGTGGTGTTGCACGCTGAATGTCACTGTGTACTTGGATTAAGTTCATTTTGTGGGGTTCTATTTTGGGGATTCCGTTTCTAATGCACGATTGCTCATGGCAATTTTGTACATACAAATATTATTGTAAAAACAAAAAACTTGCTCAATATGAAGCAAACATTTTGTTTTACACTGACAGGAAAGTATATACGATTGATATAGTTAATAACACTAATGAACAGTTGCGGTCAAATAAATAATAGTAGTTTTTTAGCTTTTTAACTATTAATCAAAAATTGTTTAGAAGCAAATATCTCAAATTACAGGTATATCATTTTCAAAAATGGTTACAAAAGATTGATAAAAAAAATGTATTTTTTTAATTTGTAATTTGAAAAACAAGTCAGATTAGAACATTCCAGCTCAAACTCCAGATGAACGACGGCTCATGGTTATTTTCCTAAACTGCTAAAAAAAATGTTTTCCAAATTTTTTCAAAAGGTTAATTTGAAGGAAATGCTAAGAACTTTTAATTGAAAAACTACAACTATATTTAAAAGGGTTTTGTTTATTGATTAGTTAGCTTTATAATAAAATAAAAGAAAATTTATCATATGACTTAAAGATGTTTTCAACACTTTACATTTTCCCACTACTATTATTTTGACCGCAGCTGTATATGCATTTTAAATACATCCAATTCATTTTTTTTTAATATGGAAAATTTAACTGATCTAAATGCTTTATTTAAGTTACCAATTCGTAATTATTCATCATACATATTTAATTTATTTTACATTTATGCATACAAGCTCAAATAACACATGCTAACAGCACTTCAAAATAATATTCTCTATAACACTAAACTGATAAAAAAATAACCAAGAAACAATGATCACATACATTTTTCACTTGATTAATACTTTAATACACCCTAAATGTCAAAACTTTAAAAAGTCCAATTTTATTTTATAGTTTGTAGTTTATTATTGTTAACAATTCGGCATGTATTTAAAAGTGGGTGGATTTGTAAAGTTTAAGCATGATTTCTTTAGTTAAAAGTCGAAAGTTCGAAATTGTTTTTTTAACAACAATATTGTAACTAAATTACAGTAAATTTCTTAAAAATTATTTAGACCTAATGATTCTTGATGCTTCTCAAGCAGCTATTAGTTATTAAAATAACACAAAACGATCTTTATCAGGTAATGGCCAAACTTGGTTGCCTTCAACTTCCAATCATGTTGCGTCATCCCGCAGGTGATTCATGTAGCAATCTCAAAATGCATCCTTTTCGTGGTCCAAAGCAATTTATAATCCAGTCGCGAGGCCCTTAAGGCTTCTCCGTTATTGTTCCACCTTTTGCTTAATTATAAAAAACCAATCCTGCTGGAGGAAGGAACTATTCAATCAACACTCAACGCATTTAAAAGTTGTGCGAATTTCTTGGGTTTGGTTTTGTTTAGACTTGGGAATGATGTCATTCCTAAATTTAGCTTCTCTTGTAATTCCTGCTTCGTGTTTCGTGCATTTATTCCTCGATGATGATGATGATGATGCGTTAGCATTTGTTGGCTCATAAGCAATAAAAAAGCAATTCCTTTGAGCTGGTGGTCTGGCCACAACGCAATTTCTCACCAGCGAACTGCGCAAAAAGTGAAAAGGGTCTCCTCCCGATAGTTCCCCATCCACCATCCACCCCAAATAACTAAAGCATGGAGTCCCACAAAGGCGGGGCTTTGTTGGGGAATGGCGCACTAAATAAGGTATCCATGAGAGTCAAGTTCAAATGTTTTTAGGAACTGCGAACGCCTGATAAATTACATTACAAGTCGCCCCAAAAATTCCGCTCATCGGATTATTTGCTTAAAAACAAAATTTCATATGACGCAATTGTTGAAAATCTACTTTAATTGGAGACGAGCAAACCAGCTCAGAAAACTATTTGAAAGTAGTGCTATGAATTACCTTCAGTGACTCACATCTGAATCACAAGTAAAGTTCAAAGATAGCGCTAAATGTGTGCTATATAAGGAGCGGTTATTATTAATCAGGAAACTTTTTCACTCGCAACTATGTGACATGAATTCTTGTATTTCCCTATGTTGCGTTTATAAATTCTAACCTATCTGTTTTTTGCGATTGCTAAATATAACTTGGGGTTGTACCTAGCTAGCAGGTGGTAAGATAATGCCTAACCTAACGCATAATTGGGTTTTATCAAAATTGTGTCTAGTTAAAGGGAAAATAGTATTTTGTTGTTTAAAACTCTTAAATATCTTCTTAAGTTTTAAGGTCTTAATTACGCTACATTAGCAAACCTGTGGAATCACAAACAATAGTGAATATTTAAAAGATAGAAATGGAAAATGCTAAAGCATTTTAAATATATACCGAATTTAGCCGACTTGACTGGTAAGTCTCGACCTGCTGTACAGTTTGATCAAAAGGCTTTCAAACAACACATTCTCTTGCCCAAAAATGCACTGCAAATGCACTCAAAAAGCGCAGAAACTGGTAAATATTCTGCTCGAAAATAAAAGCCTGCCGTTGTGCCCAAAATGTTGTACTGAGGAGCAGGCCGAACTGACTCAAGTTCAAGGTCAACAATCCCAGCGAACAGGGAACCGAACTGGGTGCTCCTTTAGTTTAGTTTCTTGAGTACATTTTCGGGAGGAAGGTAATGGGATGGAAGCGGGTGAGGGCTGACGATTCCCAAGACCAATTAGAATTTCAATTAGGCATCATCTTGAACAACTTTGGCTTTATCTCACTCAAGAGAAGCGAATGAAATGTGGTGCTATCGATGTTCTCTGCTCCAGGTTCCCCTGCCCTGCCTGCCCCACAAATAAAAGTGAGCTCGATTTTTTGTATGGCTGCGGCTGAGGCTGCGGCTGAATGGTTTGCTTGGGATTGGTATGATGTCAGCATTTATTTTTGGCACAAAATGCTTGCAGCCAGCCGAGCAAAACACAATGGCCAAACCGAAAGAGCAGACAACAAAAGCAAAACAAAACAGAAATCCCAAAAAATGGGGGGGAAAAAAAGCGTAGCAGAAGGCGCAAACCAAAAAAGCCGCAAAACATGCCAAAAATAATATTCAAGTAAGGGAAAAATAAGAAACACAAACAATTATCTTATGGAAATGGTTTAAGCAGCCGGGGTGATGAAGTGCAGGCCAGAGGCGAGTCTTTTATGGCCAAAAGGTAATGTATGTTGGCCCAGAAGAGGTTGAGATCTCTCTTGAAACGATTCTTCTTGTTTACTTGGCTGTCTGGCTTGAAGATTTCTCCCTTGTTCTTCTGGCCGATGGCTTTGTTTGGCTTTTAGGCCTCTCTAAGTGGAATTCCTCCCCTTTCCTTAACCGCCCACTCTTGTCTGCAAAATATAACGATTTATTTACTGGTTTTTTTCCACAAGTACATCTTGTCATGTCATTTCAAATTATTGCCTACTCGATGAGTCGTGTTTATTTTTATTATTTATATTTGTATTTACTTAATTTATTTATGGCGATTTGTTGTCTGGGCTGTGTGTATATGCAATAGTTGTGACTGATAAATCTATATTTAGGTCTATTCAAAAATGTTTATTTTAATGGTAGGTTCACACTATAAATTGCACTTTCTTCTTTTCAAAATCAAAGAAATTTTTTATCGCCGTGTCAAATTAGTATACTATATATAAAGGACAAATGTTTTTAAACTTTTAAGTGACATTTTATAATATTTGTTATACCATTTAATTTAGGTTTTAACTACATTCGCTTTGAAAGACAACAAATGATTCAAATTTAGATATCTGGTAGATTTATGCAAACAAGATAGCTTCGACAAACCAAATTTAAAGTCCCTTATACAAATGTTTATACCGTAAAATGGCATAAAAATTTGCAGTTAAACTTATTTGTGGTTTTTTTTTATATAACCATGCTCGTAGGGGGAGAATTTTATTCATTTAAAACGGACTTTCGCCGATTATAAACTTACCTTTAATATATATGCCAGGTCCAGTTCGACAAGACCTTTTGTGTCACCAGTGTGGTCAATCATATGTTTTCCT